GGCCCGGGGCCACCATCCCTGCCAGGCCCGCCCAGTGCCCACACCGCTCAACCACACGGCTGCTCCGGCCTGGAGCCAAGAGCGGATTTCTCTGTCACTCCCACCCCACCCCTGGTGCGATGTCTTCTGGGCCCAGCAGGCCCTGCCCGGAAGGTCCGTTCTCTTCTGGCTGCAGCTGGTGGAGTTGGGCATTGGCGCGACAGCCGAGCTGCAAAGAGCTCAGGGGCAGGAAGTCTGGTACCCACTGGGCATCTCTGCCTGCTGGCCCATGAGCAGGGTCTCTGGCCCAGAACCCTTGCCCACAGGGTGAATGGACCCGGCCCGTCTGCGGGCACAGGAGAAGGGAGGCAGCTTGTGTTTCTAACCTAGTTTCGGGCTCCTGTGCCGCACTCCACCCGGCCGTGCCCGAGGAAGGATCTTTCCTTTGGCCGGGTCAGGCTTGCTTCCTTGCCCCCAGTGCTTTGTACTTCAAGGCCTATAGAGCCAAGGGAGAAGGGAGCTGAGATCTGGAAGGGAGAGCAGGGCTCTGGGGAAACGGGCCGAGGGAGGAGAGCAAGGGGACGGGCCTTAGAGCAGTGTGATTTCTGTGGGCATCACAATTTGTGGGTCCCCTTGTCCCCCTCCTTGGCTCAGTGCTAGGGTCATTTGCTGCTGCCAGGGGGTGAGCCCAACAATCACCCCCCAGCTTTGCCCTACAAACGCTGGGTGCCCCCAGTTCCTAAACTCCCTGGGCCAGCTTTTCTCTGCAGCCCCTCGCCGTAGGCGCCCACAGAAATAACAAGCCTGCTGTCTCCATAGAGACCCAATGCTCACTGCCTTGCTGGCTCAGCTGAGACACCTGCCCCCCTCGCTTCCATGTAACGGCACTAAGCAAAATTTGTAATAACATGAGTCAGTGTTTATAAAGTGCAGGGATTTGTGATGCTAAAGCAAGAGCCTAGAAACAGAAAATGGTTGTAGAAATAAAAATGCCACGTTTTTAAGGGGCAGCCGGTACCTGCAGCAGGCTCCAAGCTTCCACTGTGGCGTTTCCCAAGGTTTTTGGGGCTCCATCAGAGCTGCTTATTCCCCTGTAGTGTCTGACACACAACCCCCCCCCCCTTTTGCTTTGCTGTATGCTCTGACAGTGCGATTCTCGGGGGGGCTGGTTTGTCTCCAGCACAGGGCAAAGCTACGTTCCTGTGTCTTGGACAAACTCTGGCAGGTTGGCCCCCAAACCATGTTTAGGATCGTATTTCCAGCCTCCCAATACATACCAGCCATACATACAGCACCCTGCTTCATCAATGCAACCCCCAACACTCTAAGCAGATATGACTCTCATGGTTTGGTAACAGGTTAAAAGATCAGAAACAAAGGGTAGAAATAAATGGTCAGTTTTCAGAATGGAAAGAGTTGTCCCGCAGAAGACTTGTGGTGGCCCAGGGCTCTGTGCTGGCAGCAGTCCTATTCAACATATTCATAAATGAGCTGGAAAAAGGGGGTAAGTAGTGAGATGGCAAAAACAGCAGCTGACACTCAACTGCTCAAGATAATTAAGTCCGAAGCAGACTGATGAGCTTCTGAAATAAACGGAGAAGCAGTGAGATGGCAACATTTGCAGCTGATAGGAAACTACTTAAGATCATTAAACTCAAAGCAGATTGAGATGAGCTCCCAAAGGATCTCACAAAACTAGGTGACTGGGCAACAAAATGGCAAATGAATTTCCATATTAATAAATGCAAAGTAATACATATTGGAAAACAATCCCAACAATAATAAAATCAGGGTGTTACCTAAATTAGCTGTTACCACCCACGACAGAATCATTGTGGATAGTTCTCTGAAAACATCCATACAATGTGCAGCTGCCGTCAAAAAAGCAAACAGGAATCATTAAAAAGGGGGTAGAGAATACGATATTCTCTGCCTTATTGCCTCTGTATCAAGCCATGGTACGCCCACACCTTGAATACTGCGTACAGATGTGGTTGCCTCATCTCCAAAAAGAGATCTTGGCATTGGAAAAAAGTTCAGAAAAGGGCCACAAAATGATTAGGGGTTTGGAGTGGCTGTTGTATGAGGAGAGATTAACAAAACGGGGACTTTTCATCGTAGAAAAGAGGAGACGGGAGGGATAGGGTAGAGGTCTATAAAATCATGATGGTTATGGAGAAAGTAAATGAGGAAAAAAGATATATTTGTTCCCATCATGCAAGAGCTATGGGTCACCCAATGAAATGAATAGGTAGCAAGTTTGAAACAAACAAAAGGAAGCAGTTCTATGCACAACACACGGTCAACCTGTGGAACTCCTTGCCCAAGGAGGTTGTGAAGACCAGGAATTTAACAGGGTTCAAAAAAGAACTAGATACATTCATGGAGGATGAGTCCATCAATGGCTCTTCGCCAGGATGGTGGCCCTAGCCTGTGTGTCGGAAGCTGGGAATGGGTGATAGGGGCAGGATCTGGTAGTTCAGACAGCCCTGCTGTGCAGTGTGTGTGTGTGTGTGGCGAGGGGAGGGGGGGTCCCTTTCTGACCCTCTGCTCCAAATGCCTTGAAGCATGAGGATCAAGGGCCCTGCCCTGAGTATCCAGTTTGATCCACCATGAGGGGGACATTGGAGGGGTCCGTGGGGGTTAGTGACAAGGGGGGCTTGGGGGTCTGGGTTGAGGGGAGCACAGGGAAGGGGGAATTGGGGTCACTGAGGTTCTGCATCTATGTTGGGGGAGGGGCCACAGGGGTCTGCAGGGAAGTTTCTAAGGGGGAGCACAGGGAGGGGGGAATTGGGGGCACTGAGGTTCTGCATCTATGTTGGGGGAGGGGCCACAGGGGTCTGCAGGGAAGTTTCTAAGGGGCGGAGCCTTTGGAGGTCAGGAGGGGGCAGAGCTAAGAGGAGGGGGGAGCCTATGGAGGGGCGGGACTAAGAGAAGAGGGTGGGGGGGAGCCTATACATGGTCATGAGCGGGCGGAGCTAAGAGGGGAGGGTGGTGGGCGGAGCTTAAGGAGGGTCCGGAGGGGGCGGGGTAAGAGAAGAGGGGGGGGG